CTGCAGGCAGCCAGTCGGGTGCCACAACTTGACAACATCGGGCACGAACGCCCCACACGCATGGGCACGTGGCGCACCGCGCACATGATACGCACCCCTGCTACACAGATGCGCGGCACTTTCGCGATTATGCCAACCAACGCGTTCTCGCGCGAATACGCGTAGTTGCCAGCATGCGAGCATGCGCGCGCATGCGTGTGTGTGAATGGTCGCACGCGAACTGCAACGTAGACCCGACTGGTTCGACAATCGCATGCACACGACCCCCCACAGAATTCGCCAAGAAAATCATCTTCTCCCCTTTCCAAGAAACTCTGCTCCCACAGTTCAGCGAGGCACAAACACTGGGCACGAAGGGGTTCGCCCAGACCCCCCGACATCTCGAAAAGGGTGGGTGTTTTTTGTTCGGCCCCTCTTGCGACGGTCCTTCGACTCCCCTGGGATACAAATGGCACTTTCCGGGAATCTCGGCACGAAGAACTTGGCCCTCTATATATCCTGTGGGTGCGGATCTGTGACTTCTGTCGGCTTCTCGGCCACCGTACCTCTCGCATTACGTCGGGCATGTCCTCCCACAAACGGACGCTGGACGAAAAGAACCACACATCATGCTCAAACACTGGCACGCGTAATCGAAAGCTCGTCCGAAAGACAATTTCCACACAAATGTTGCATACCCCTCCAATAAAAGGGACATGCCCGACCTGAGTATCGCGGCGTCGCGCCCCGCGGCGCGCGATTCTCTTCGCGCCCCCGCGCCGCACCCTTGGAGAAGCGCAGCCGCTCCACAGCCCAGACGGCCACGCGCGAGCATCTGCGCGCCGCCGCGGGCGACCTGGGACTTCGATGCCGCCACTCCTAGGTCCGACATATCCTCCCACAACCAGATCTTGGAATAACATTCTAGAATGGCCCGAAACCTGCATCCTCACTCTTCGTCCCCCTCCTGTCTTCTTCATCCTCCTCCGCTTCGTCCCCGGCCTCCCTCGACCTCATCCTACACCTCATCCTCCTCTTCCTCCTCCTCCTCCTCCTTTTCCCCCTCTCGCTCTCCCCTTCCTGCCCCTACTTCGACAAACCGCACACCGGGCGTTCGAATGCGCATCATGTGCACGCCTTGCACTTCAAAGTGCCGTTCTTTTCGTCGCGCGCGACATTGTCAGGCCCCGCGGACAACGCTGGCATCGGTAGTTTTCTCTTGCACGTGCCGCTGCACTGATACGCTCGCCAACTGCGCGCCGTGAGTATCGAAATATTCGCAATCTGCGCGCGCTACTTTCACTCCCCTCGTGAGGTGTTCCGTTTCCTGCGCGCCACTGATGTGCCGCTGCCGCGGAAACACCTTCTCGAAACAGCCCGCCACTCCGATCCGCTTCTGCAAGGGCTGCGGGAATTATCAAGTTTCGCGCATTTCGAACACGACTTCGAAACCACGATTCGTCCAAACCACCCTACTCATGAAACCACATACCGCAGCCGTCAAGGCGTCCACCACAACCGGCGACAAAAACTATACAAAAACAAAGGCTTGCCGGATGTAGCTCAAGCCTATATGATACTCCCCGGACCATTGTTGTACTATTCTAGAATACTCTGCCTGTAGGTGGACATGCCCTGTTTAACGCTACTCCCTGGGCCCTTCCCGGGGTGCGTTCTGACAAGACCTTCGAGGCGAATCCAGCGGCGGCGACGAGGGCCTCCCAGGAGGCCCCCCGAAACGACAACGAAGCAAGGGTAGCGATGCCAGCACCCGTTTCCTCTTCGAAATCTCTGGGCGTCCGCCGACCTTCCGCAGAGGAGGATATGGCGACCTCCCGATCCGATGATCCTTATAACCGTGTGTCAGCGCCGACGTGCGTTTGTCCACCGACGTCCTTCGATACGACCCAGGCGGTGCAGCGAGGACCGACGGGGTCTGCGTGTTGTCTGCGGAGCTGAACGAGGGAGAACACACACACACACACGCACACACGCACACACACACACATTTTTGGTCGTCGGCGGCGAGGCGGGACAACCCGCTCCAGCGTGGCAGCGATGCAGGGGCACTACAAAGCGAATTGGCCGGCATGCAGGAGGAGGCAACAAGAAAATGCGCTATGAAAACGCACACACCTTGGGTTACAGTAGGGGCGTTGACCTAAGGAACCCTAAGTAAGGAACGGGGCCCCTTTCTCCCATAAGTTGAACCTCGATGGTCCGTGGAAAAAACCTCAGGAAAACCCGAGGATCACTGCAAAACAACTAAGGAACACGGAGCCCCTCCCGAACGAAAAGGGTTCCTTCTTCAGGGCCCCGACTGCATCACGGGAGCGGCCAAGAGGGGGGTGTCCAAGAGGGGGGGTGCAAATCATGACCGGCGGCACGTGCGCGGCCCAGCGGGGGGGCATGGGACGTAAGGAAATAAGAAGAGGCGCCATGACATCTGGGGAAAACTCATGGCCCGCGCCATGAAATCCCCCCCCCTAATTAGTCATCACCCCCCTCTTTTCCGTCCCCGAACTCTGTGATCCGCCAGCCTCAGCCTGCCCGGGGTGAAACAGGCGTGTGGGACAGTTGGCCGCCCCCTATCTCCCCCTTTCCCCTCGGGGATCCTCCGCCCCAGTTCCATCCAGACCCGGGTCAGTCGGGCCGGTCAGTCAGTCGGGCCTTGCAGTTATCACCCCCCTCTTTTCCGCTCCCGAGTACCACACGCCCCGAGGTTCCTCGGCCGATCCCTCGAGGGCGAGGCCCTGTCTGGAGCACGCCCCGCCCGTGAGCCGCGCGGCCCGCCTTGGTGCCCCCAGCCGTGCGGGATCGCTGCCACTTGTCAGCGCGGGGGGGGGCCCCTGGATGCTCCGCTGCTGTCTAACACCGGGCCAGGACGAGGACTCCTCCTCCTCCTCCTCCTCCTCCTCCTCATCCTCATCCTCCTCCTCCTCCTCCTTCTCCCTCCTCCTCCTCCTCCTCCTCCTCCTCCTCCTCCTCCTCCTCCTCCTCCTCCTCCTCCCCCTCGTCCTCGTCCTCCTCCTCATCCTCCTCGTATTCCTCAACTTCGGACGAAGATGAATTCGGACTAGGATAAATTCCGGCGAAAGTATCACTTCGGACGAGAAACTCTGTGATCCCGCGGCTGCAGAAAATGCACCGGGCGCCGCGACCTTCTCAGAGCGTTCGGGAACGCTCGGAGAGCGTTCCGGAACGCTAAGGAACGGATTTATCCTCGTCCTAGCCCCGCCCGACTTCCTCCGTCAAGATCATTGGGTAACCAATGTTGTCGGTCCCGAAATCAGTAACGACCGATCGGCACCCCAAATCAGTCGCGACCGGTTTGGAAGCAAATATGTCGCGACCGATACAGGAATACTGGATACGGAGCAAAAGTCATAGCGACCGATCTCGTCGGTCGCGACCGAAAAAACTGAAGGTCAATAATCTGGGCAGGACCGGATTTTCATCCCGAGCACGTTTTGACGGTCCCGGGGCCGAAACTAGGCGAAACCTCCCCCACTGATTTCTTCACGACGCAAGGGGACCTGGGCCCAGGGGTCGCAAGTCGACCCCCAGACCTCTCCTGCAGCGCGTTCTGCCCAAACTCTGGAGGCGAAGCCAGCCGTGGCGACGAGGAGCCCCCCCCAAAGGCTCCCAGCAATGACCAGCCCTTGAAAGTCGAAGCCCTGGGTGCGGCTGGCCACCTCGCGTCGTGGTTCTTCCACGGCGCGAACACTGACCAGGCTCGAACTTGCCCCTGCCCCTAAGATCAGAAAGCCACCAGGCGATGACAACCCTGGGGATGTGCCTTCAGGGACCGAGGGAGCACTCAAGATCGGCACCGAGAGACGAGGAGACGCCAATCACAGGGATAGGGATACGCTCCAGGCTGGTGAAGCATGTCTCGAATAGGAGATCGCAGATAGAATCCCACCAGCCCTCTGGGCGCTGGTGGTTTAACGAATTGTGCCTTGTCTCTGCCGAACCCCCTCCTTCCTCTGCTCGGGGGAATGGCTTAGTACTGCTCCCTATCAATACACCCTCTCCCCTAGGCGACAGGCAACCAACCAGGAACAATGCCGACCCTATGCTCCCCACCCCCCAGCCGTCCCTCTCGGAAGGCAATGCGAAACAGACTCTGCATCCAAATTCGGAGTCTGCGCAACCGACCCAATGCGGGTCCCCCCACCACCCCTGTCAAAAAACAATACAAAGTACAGTGTGGAGCAAAGTCTTGAGTCATGTTCATCAGGCCCGCGGGTACTTTGTATCGCTTATTGACAGGGACGGCGGGTGTGTCAGAGAATCGCCTGCTGTGCGCAAGCCCCAACATCCCTGTCAACAAACCCTACAACATGCACCTCGCGGCGAAATCTGAATCATGCGCGGCCGCCCCGCGTTCCCTATCAAGTGGTTTTTGACAGGGACGGCGGGGGTGGTGGCGCATGGCCTGCTGTGTGCAGGCCCACCGACACCATGATGGGCATTGGTGTTCGACAAGGATGGTGGGGACCGACACGTTTCCAAATGTGCGCTGTCACGTGCGCAGGCGCACCTGACACACTCTGCTCGTGCCCCGAACGTGGTGCACCTGGCGCGGCTGGAGTATGCGGCCCGCCTGGCGCACGTGGAGCACGTAGCGCATCTGGCGCACCAGGCGTGCCTGGCACGCTCGGGCCCCAGGACTGCCCGGCGCGCATGGCGCGCCTAGCACGCCTGGCGCACCCTGCCCCAGAGTCGCGCGCATGGGCTCGATTGTGGTTCCCAGTAGCTGCCCATCCAAAGACGACCGCTGAACATGCTGAGGCTCGGAGGATATGTAGAAGGGTGTTTTGACCCCTCCCCCTACCCCCTCCCCTGGCTGGGCCTGGGAGGGGGGGTGGGCCGCGGGTAGTTAGAGCACCCAAGATGGCCCAAAATGGCTCCAAGAGGGCCTCAGAAAACCCAAGATGGCATCCAAGTCCAAGACGGCTCAAGAGACCAAGCCTCAAGACGGCCCCAAAACGGTTTCAAGTGCACGCCGGCCCTCA